GACAGAGAATCAAGAAATGCATATTAACCTGATTTCTTCTTTGAATGAGGAATAAAAATCATTACTTACTGTTTATGTAAAATAAAAATGAGTAGTTCTCTTCAACCTGTAACATTGAGTGAACTAACACAATTTTGATTATCAAACATTTGTAAAACAGTGATGATCATAGAGAATTGTCTTTTCTGCTTGATTAATTCAAGAAAGAAAGTCACCAGATGGCTCAGACTGTATTCAGATCAATGAAATAACAGTCCCTGTCCATCTGATAGATTTGAGGTCATCAGGGTCAGATCAGGGTCAGATCAGGTTCACTACACCCATCAGTCCTCAATGACTATAGACCTGTTGCCCTGACATCCCACATCATGAAGGTCCTAGAGAGACTTCTGCTGACCCACCTGACTAGACAAACAAGCACATATCAGGACCCACTGCAGTTTGCTTATCAGCGTGGACTTGGAGTTGAAGATGCCATCATACACCTGCTTCAGCAAACTCACTGTCATCTAGAAAAGGCAGACAACACTGTGAGAGTCATGTTCTTTGATTTCTTCAGTGCATTTAACACAATCCAGCCTGATTTGCTTTGTCAGAAACTCCAGAAGACTCAGGTGGAGGCCTCAACAATCACCTGGATCAAAGACTTCCTGACGGACAGACCACAGTTTGTGAGACTGAAGGGTTGTGTCTCCAACCAGGTGATCAGTATCTCAGGAGCACCACAGGGGACTGTACTCTCACCATTCCTTTTCACTCTGTACACCTCAGATTTCCAGTACAAAACAGACTCCTGTCATCTGCAGAAATATTCAGATGACTCTGCAGTGGTCGGGTGTATCAGAGATGGACAAGAAGCTGAGTACAGGGAACTGGTGGACCGCTTTGTGGCACGGTGTGGAAACAATCATCTCATCTTGAATGTGAACAAAACAAAGGAGATGATTTTAGATTTCAGGAGAATCAGGAACAGGTCCAACTCTATTTCCATCATGGGAGAAGAAGTGGAGGTGGTGGAGAAGTATAAATACCTTGGAGTTCACCTGGACAACAGACTGGACTGGAGATGCAACAGTGAAGTGTCTACAAGAAGGGACAGAGCAGACTGTACTTCTTGAGGAAGCTAAAGTCCTTCAACGTTTGAAGTAAGATGCTGCATATCTTCTATAAGTCTGTTGTAGAGAGCACTATCTCTTCTGCCATCATCTGCTGGGGGAGCAGCACCAGAGCAAGTGACTTAAAAAAGATCAACAAGCTCATAAAGAAGGCTGGCTCAGTTCTGGGGACTCCTCTAGAACCTTTGGAGATGATTGTACAAAGAAGGATTCTTCATCAAATGAAGAACATTATAGACAACCCTCAGCATCCTCTTCATCAGACTGTCATACAACATCAGAGTGTTCAAAAAGCGTTCAATACAAAAACAACTGGACTTTATTTGTAACAGAAGACGTTTCGCTCCTCATCAGAGGAGCTTTCGCAATTCAAAGAGCAGAGAGTGAGAGATTCAGGTTATAAGGCTGAGTGAGATAAGACACACACACACATACTGTATATGTAGATTGGCAGTTCACACCAAAAAAAAACCTAAACAGTAGGTCTTTGTTCCTCTAATTCACAGTCGAGGC